ACACTCCCTCCATGTCGCACACAAAGCAAGAGAAGAGAGTAAAGAGAGATTCATCACAAAAGAGATACTAAACAGAGGTATGAGGCGAAAAGTATAGTAATATCGAGGAAAACAATACAGTTTTATTGGATATTATAAATCACAAGGAGCGGATGCATGTGTGCCATTGTCGAGAACGATTTTGAGCCATATCACCAATTGTCTCCAGCCATTGGTGTTTACCATCCCGAGGACCCCAACCAGTGAGGAAGTCCACACCATCCTACGTGGCTGGCTTAAACTAACTGTTATGGATTTCATTGACTGATGAAGCCATATTTTGTTTTAACTACGACTAGCTCTTTTCCAGCCTGATCCATCCTGTGTCAGCTAACATTGCCTGTCAAGGAAGGCGATCATCAGTGGCATGGGATGCATGCGTAACACATGTCCTAACTATCTCAATCGATGTAACTTCACAGCCTCGTCTATTGATTTCCCCTCCCAACCAACCTAGCACTCGACCGAAGCCTTACCTCAATATTGCTCACCTTATTATACCACTTAACACGGGAGATAGAAAGACAGCTAGGCTTTTCATGTCTCCCAATGGTCATGTCCCACAGACATGAAGGAGGAGAGAGAGAACTGCTGAGCAGTAAACACGTCCTTTGGTCGACGGTCGGATATCACGTCTACTAAGGCAGAGATGGCGTAAGTTGGTGTATGACAAAATAGTCTTCTATATCCGTTCTGAGATGACGTCAGAGACCAACCCGTTCGGACTGATACGATTCTCCAAATAAGAGAAGTGGGCTCTACACGTTGCACCACTTCACTCCCATATTTCTAATCTTGAAGTCTATGTAGGTCAGTCCTGTAGCATCATCTTTCATTTGACGAGAGCGAATCGCATGGCAAATATTCGAAGATTGTAGCTCACATTACACTTCACTGATTACTGACTAGTGTCCAATCGAAAGTTTAAAATATTATTTCAATAAATCTAATCTGTGCTGTGATACTTCGCCATTGTACACTAATTAGAATGTATTTCTGTCCGAATTCTTGTTAAAGAAGGCAGTATAGTTGAGAAAACGAAGGCGAAGGCTACGATGCAGTTTACCACACACAGTTGTACTTTTATCGTTGCTTACTTCTGTACTAAGTGTTGTCATAATGTCTGCATGTTAGTCAAAGTAATTTTTGTTTTTTGTGAAATTGGATCTCAGAAAGACTGTCCACAGAGAGTCTCTGCTGAAATAAATATTCATGAACTGATATCAGTCCGTGATCAACTCGTAAAACATAACTAATCCTTACAAACCAAAACTATAGAAAATTATTCTGATGCTCGCTAGTGACTTGTTACAGGTTGGAGCTTCCTGGACTTCTAGTGAGAAGTCGTGACCAGTGAGGTCCAATTAGAAGTCACGTGTGTGGATGGATGTCCCACCAACGACAATAGTTGGGGTCGCGCTAAATCACGAATTGGTGGAAGTTAGAATTCATGAGCCATTGAATCGGGTCCCAGTGCCGGAATGGTATACGAGCTTGCCTTGTAACCGGAAGGTCCTGGGTTCGAATCCCAGTGGGTGCGTACTTCCGATAATTCCCAAACTAGGATGAAACAGCAGCTGTCCAGTACTCCCTGGTTTTCAATGGTTCTCTAACTGATATCAGTCCGTGATCAACTCTTAAAATATAATAATTATCATCACTACTCATACATCACGAACGAAAGTGTAGGATTATATTATAGTATTGTTACGCTTTTTTACTACTTGATTATTTCATATTTTTCTTTAGAGCTAATTGTAATTATAATTGCAAAAACATCCTAATCATGTTTCGTTTTAACTGCACACCATCTAAACTATCTACACGTCTGTCGTATTTTTATTTATGCCTAAGGTAGATTCTCAAACTACTCGTGTGTACAAGATTAAGTGGTGGTAGGAATCATATTTATTGGCTTATTACGCAACTGTGTTTTTTTTTCTGTCATGTTGACATGTGGCCGTTTAAAATATAACTTATTACACAGACAGAGGCTATTCATTCTAAGACTAGGTTATAACACCTTATTGGCCTTGGAGCCAAAAAAAGTGTGTCAGCTAAATCACGGCCCATTGTTGATTTCCTTCAGGCCAGTTGTGATTATTTTGACTGATGAGGATGGTTAGCGGCTTAAATTTTCAACAACAACAACAACAAAAAAGCCTACAACCGCCTTCATCCATTGGTTCCAGTCGATGGGGTGGTGTAATTTTACTTTTATCGTAATACTACTTTAGGATGCAGCTTATTTCAAGATAAATATTAGTCATTGCTTTCAAGAGTTTCTTTTTTTCCTTTCTGTTTTTTGCGAGTATTAGCAACTGCATTTCTTTTCATCTTAAAGGTAAGTATTGTGCACAATTAATGAGGTTAAGCATGGATTTAAAGCAAAGGTCAACAAAATGCTTATGCATATGAACTTCTCTTTATTGAATATATACTAAATTTAGTAAAACTGTTATATCGTGTGCACACGTAAATCTGTTAGAAACCAATGAAACTATACGAGTAGTTAACTTTTTTTAAAGTCAGGTTATATTTGAACGCATTTTCTAAAATCAAGTTGAATAACACCTCATTAGTCGTATACCAACTGTATAGAATAAGTTGAACAGAACCGATGAATCCTTTAATTTGTGCATTAGTGGATAATCCTTCACACACACACACACACACAATGGTGCATTTCCCACAGGAGGTAAACATACACTTATTTCATACTTCTATCTTACCGGTAGAATGTAGTGCTTCAAAAAGTCGATAACCTGGATACTACGATAGTAAACGTCTACCACTTTACTTCACATGTCATAAAAGTTTCAGCTGTCAATTTAGTCTTATTTTCAAAATCATAAACAGAATATGGCTATTATAAAGAAGTACATTGAATTTTAGTAAACAAGGTAGGTAGGTAGGTAGTTATTGATGTATTTGTTCATGGCTTAGTGAGATCATGATAACGCCCTTGCGAGAATACTTGCTTTACTGGTAACTAGTTGATGATTGCTGATAAGTGAGAAGAATACTCTTGACCATGTGATTTTAAATTACATGCATTAAGAAGTATTGTAAACAGTGTTGTTACACATCTCAGTTATGGGTAGGACTTTTTAAAGTTGTTTTTTTTAGTTTGATAAAAACAGTTTTCTAAATGTAAATAGTGAGTCAATTCTCTGTTTCATGCCTGAGTAATGTAGTATTAAGGTTGATGAATTTCATCTACTGAATGACACAGGTTCGAATATCGAAAGGAATAAAGAATATATATATATATATATGTCACTATTAGATGTAAGTTTTGCTGAACATTATCGACAAGCAGAAAACCTAGTTTACTCTTGGTTTTCTTTACGTATCATATCAAATTGTAATGCACCGAAATATGTATATTCCTCAGTGTATCGTATCATTAAGCTAAATGATACCATTTCACCTCAACTAGTCGATAGACTTCGGTGATAGTTAATTATACTGAGTGCCTACTTTTTTGGAGTATTAGTGTCTACTAAGGAAATCACCTCTACTAGTTTTCAATCACCTGCATATCTATTTTTTCCGTTCCGTGTTTGTACACTGCTGTAAACACGTTTATCCAATTGTAACAAGAAAAAGGGTAGACAAGATCACTAGCCGGGAGAGTCGTGCAAAAAGTCATTGTAAAGTAAACAGGTCTTCTTCATACTAAGCATATATCTGTCATTTATAACGTTTACTGAGAAGTAAAGCTAGAGAGAAGGAGAGAGCAGTGCATTTGTGATGCCAAGATAGCAGATTCTACAAATAGTTTGATCAGTCAGCAGTGATATCTGTAGCAATATTCTTCCGCCTTATAAGAGTTTCAGGAGACGGTGTATTCCTTTACTGTCACCTATAAATCACTCTATTCAGTTGCGTGTTTGAAAATCACCATTACATTTTGTTTTAATTACAGGTTGTTCATATATCTGCGATTAGATATCAACTTACTAAAACATAGGTGACACCTATTAGTCGATCAACAGTGAGTTTCGAATTCTTGTTCCTAAGGTGTTTATCTCAGGTTTACTCATAATGACTCAAACACCTTCATTTTCCTTGGAATCAGCGAACATCTGAGTGTTTAATCGTATACTAGTATTTGCAATTTCATACCGATCCACATTACGTCGGATGAATAAACAATTGTTATGATTATCACATTGATACCATTATCTGTGTTCTCTTTATGCTTAGGAAGCTATTGATATCACTCAGATGGCAAAGTCCCATGTTTTTCATCATTTATTCTCAAAATAAACCTGATATACTGGAAATTAGCTTCAGTTGCGATATTTCTGTGATGTTAAATGCGACTTAAGACTGTAATGACTATTAAAACAAACGTGAAATATACTCAACTGGTGCATATATTGTAGAATACTGGTATACTGATGAATTAGGCGATGTATAAACTAGAAGTTAATGCACTTATGATATTGTTGGTATTCAAAATTGCATTGTCAATATAAAACTGGGAGGAATAAGTATAGTGAATTTCTTTTCTTAGTCTTGTGTATTTATCAATCAGTAATTTTGTCCGACTTTTGATTTTCCTTAGTTAACTGCAAATAACAAGACGTTGATAACGGTTTTACTGTACTACCTTTCTAATCAGAATTGAATAAAAAGTTCAAGTGTAAGCAATTATTCATTTCTAACAGAACCAAATTGAAATGACCTCTATATTTATCTATGAAAATTCTTCACTGACACATTTTTTACATCATATGATGATAGCAAGACGTGATGAGAAGTGTGCTCTTTAAGTACTTAGGCTACACATGTATTTGTGTCATTGAATATATACATATATATATATATATATATATTACTCACTATACGTGAACTTTCTCTTACAATTTTCAAAAACAACAGCATTTTTAAATCCTTTTGAAAGTTGTAGAATTGTTCGACTTGATAGTTTTTGTGTTATTTACTTCCAGCTGTCATTTCGACCAACTGTTGAAGAACTCCGCCGACGTAAAATTATACGTTTCAATGATTATGTTGAGGTCAGTGAAGCGGATGCTTATGATCGTCGAACAGATAAACCATGGACTCGGTTAACTCTACGTGATAAAGTAAGATTTAATTGATTGATTGATAAATTGGAATTTTACTTACATCTTTTAAAATTAAACCACTCACCAATGTTGTATAAGAGTTTGAAACTAACTTTGGTTTCTCAGCCCACATTGACAGTTTCTGAAGAAAGATGAACATGCCACGACCTGAAGAATAACCCCTACATCTAATCTCCACGAATCAATTTTTTCACGTGATGTACAAAACATGTAGCAAACGACATAAGCCAGGTGTGTGGACATGACTGGTAGCATGATGGTTATCACGTGCATTAAATATGAGTCTTACATGTATATTTTTCTGCATACTATCCGCCGGAATGAACCGGCAGACATTAACAACTTGCAATGAACTTTCAGAAGGTTTTAGCGCGTAACCAATCCGCAAGCAGCTTCATTAGCTGTTATCATCATCTCTTGTAAGTGCGGTCAGTGTTCGTCTATCCTTTCTGGATGGTCAATGGCTGCATTAATATGTGCAACCAGTTTCCTTACTTAACTGTGTTTAGGGCGATGTTTATAACTAAGTACAAATCGGAATGGAAGCCTAACAAGGACTAAAGAATCATCCGAATCTAAACAAAGTCTTCAGAAGGACACGCAATCCCGTATGCTCCTACATTGTCGATAGCTATTAGAAATAGGATCTGTTTGAGTTTAGGTTTAAATGTCAATCGAACAACTCCAGGTGATGTTTGTGCCGGAATTTGATTCTAATTAGGAATACGTTTTGATCTGTATAAACTTACAGAAGTTCCCTTTTGTCTTATCGGCCACCAACAAGGCACTTAAACGACTCGCCACTGAGCTAAGATGCTCAACCAATGTTTCTAGTTATCACCACCATATCTTCTGGTTGCACTTGCGTAGGAAGCCCACTAATTGAGTACAATCAGTCAGTGCATAGACTGACATGAACGAAAGATAACGCTTCTCTGTAAGGTCGCTTATCACTCTAATATAATTTTTTAACCTAACGGAACATCAATGACTGTTAACGGTTGTTCAGTCAAATAATGCAGTGTCAGTCCTAATACTTAGAACGATGTCTGTAGCGCAAGTTGTCCAGATTTAGATGAAAACTCAGCTCAAATTGTGATCATAACTGTTTAAACCACTCGGTATACATAATGGAGGCGGATAGTCGGGAATTTAATGGTTAATGTGATATCTTAGAACTAATGTCAGGTCGCTGTTTCTATGAGAACCAGTACCTTTCTCGCACAATCAGCAAAAGCATTTCTAACAGGCTTCCTAGCAAACTTTCATCAACACCTGCTTTCACCGTCTAGATATGGGCCGGCTGAAGAGGATAAGTAACAAGAAATTCTGGCAGTGAATGAATCATAAATCTATTGCTCAATAAATATGTGGAAGGAAATGGAGATGGGCTGGACATACACTAAAGAAACTTTCCATTGAAATCGAACGTTCATCCCTCTAGTCGAAAGCAGTGAATTGGGCTTTGGTCCGAAAGTAACACGGAGATCATCTGAAGAAGAAATGGAAGCTTGTGAGCAGTCAGACAACCGAGTACAATGGAGATACGCTATTAAAGATCTACTTCCCGCTCGGAAGACATGCAATGAATAATAAGCACCTGAGTAGTTAGATCCCACGTTCTCGGTATGATTATGAGCAATAGTTTGTGCTTGAAACGTCATCAGTTAATATAACTGTACTACACTGTGTGATTTATCAAAATAAAATCTTATCCATTATGGAATTATACTCTACCACAGTGCCCAAGTTTTATACTTATATCAATCCCACGTTCTTATCCTTCACTCAGTTGTTGTCATACTGTTTGTCACCAGATTAAGGCATGACATCAAGTCACGAAGTCTCAGTTTTCTATTGAAAGATAATAACAAGGGCAACTTCAAAGATCTATAAAATTTCAAGGATTAGTGGCTAGACACATTTGTTTGTAATGTATTGATAAGGTCTGTAGACATTTAGTCTTCATTCTTGATAACCGTTTTACATTCTGTCTTTTCGTCCCTTTATTCTTATCTACCATTGTAGTCTGTGGTTTGCGAACTATGGAAATTTGTTCATCCCTTTTTATTCAAAATGTTGTTAAGTTTGTTCCTGTTCTCTAGTCTCACCTAACTCACTTAAAGAGCTAATAAATTGCAGTTAGTCAGAATCTGGAAATAAGGCACATCTCAACAATGCAACTATAAACCAACCGAGGATTTCGTGAAATCGTTCTCATGCACTTCATTATATTCGAGGTTCAGGACATCTCTATTCTGTTTACTTACGTTTGTGCTAGATGTGATGCATGTCTCTTTCAGAAGCCTCAATCATGTCACGCCAAATTTAATTCTTACCTATCCTCTTATATCTGCTGGTTGTAGTACCATTTTTTTTCGTGATTTCTCAAAAAGCGTCAAGGTTGTTATTATTAACACTATGGATAAATTGTCATGAGTGGAGATAATAGACGGTACCAGAGACTATTGGTTTGCCTGTCACAAAAGTACACATTATTTACTGATGCATAAATTATCAATTTTTCAATCATCATTCTGACACATGATAACCTAACTTATGTCTTTCTAACTATACAGGCAGATATAAGGAAAGAGCTGAACGAATTTAAAGCCACTGAGATGGACGTTCATGCTGAAAGTCGACATTATACCAGGTAAGTATTAAACCCTGTATTGATTTTGTAACCTAATGTATAAAGTTTAATAACTACACTAGATAACTGTGTGACTTGTAACATAGTGAATTGGGACATCACTAAAACTAGCTTCGATTCTTGTTTGCTACATCTATCTCTGGTTGAGAAGTTACTCAGATATCATCATCGGTTAGCACACATTAATTGTAGTACGGTATAGCCCATGACATATCATAAACAAATGGTGGTCACATTGCAAACTTAACCGATAGAATTGAGTCTGTAGCATACAAAGGACTAGACGCATAATACTAGTTAGTATGCGATCAAAATGAATTACATGTTGGATGTTATATTTCACTTTTCACATTTTCCTAGCGAACAAGTGTAGACCATATTGTCACCTGTAATGTATACTACGTTTGTAGATTATGCACTGAGATTAAGGATGCCCATAAGAATCTTACATAGATGACAAATTTAAAGGATGATTGCAACTTTCGTGAAGCGAAAATTAAACTTTTATGTGGTTTTTAAACCCATTAAATGTTTGTATTTACTCAGCTATCGTGATCATCTTAAAGACAATGTATTTGGAAATGAATGACGCATTACAACGCATTTATTTGTATTTGTATAAAAGCCAGCATGAGAATTCTAAACACACGATTTCCCATGTAGTATTAATAAAGCATTAGCCTGCATGTGCAGTCTGGACTAAACTCTTACTTGACTTTTGGTGTTCATTCTTTCTGTTATTCATTAATTCTACACTCTGATTCTTGCAGGTATCACAGACCTTAGGCATAAACAATCTGAAGAAAGTATCTTCAACTGACAAATGAATATTCTCATGCAGCCACATTTTCGAATAAGCAATCTGCAAATTATGCACTATTTTGCAAATTATTTGTTGCTGAACTGTGTACATAAACAATCTTTTGAATAGTGATTTATTTGAACTTTGTGATTTTATAGCGTATTTCTAGAAACAGTGATTCCTTTTGTACAGTTTTTCTAATCATTATGACGATGCTAGTTCCTTGCAAATACACTTGATAATATGATTTCTTGCATATGTGGTGTTAGTATTTAAAGTCTTTAGCACCTATTGAATAGCGTTTCCTTTAGGCAACAGAGAGGACACAACCATTTGTTTATTTCAAATACCTAGAATAACATTCAATCACGCTGAGATAGTGCAGCAACGAACAGAATATAAACATGATAAGCAGTAATTAACCGAGGACAGGTGCATACTAACAATACCCGGTTTACATGTAGAGGAGTTCAGTGAACAGACAGGTCTTCTCACATTGTAATGTAAAACAAGAGCAGCTTTTTATGAGTTGCCTGAAACCATGTATACTGGCACCTAATTATCATTTTATTTACTCACTGAGTTTCAGCATAAATATTTGCACTAAAATGCAGCAGTTTAAATTGTCACACTCCATGTAGTACACGAAGGTGCAAAAGAGATTCCAAAAAGCTGAAGAGAGTAGAAATGTACTGGAGATAGAAAAATAATAGGATTGTGGAAGAATATGGGGATTCAATGGATATGAGAGATCATAAAGAGTGAATAAATATCCACCAATGACATCGATCTTCAACCACATCACCAACATTTGGCAACCCAAAGATCCCTAATCACGCAGTCTACGCCTCCCTACATGGCTAAAATCAAAGACTTCATAGAATGGGGTCAGCTTTCAGTATGACCACCCCTAACTCTTTTAAACTAATCTTAGGTGGGATAACATTATACGTTGAGTAAGGCGATGACTTGGAATGAAAAACACGTGACCTAGGTAACTCAATCAGCGTAGTTTCACAGCGTCATCGATCGACCTTTCCCTCTTTGTCTAGCCCTCTACGCCTGACCTCAGTATTACGCACCATATTATTCCGCTCAATACGAGAGACAGGATGCAGAAACCTATGATCAAAGACAACCGACCTTTTCATATGTTCCACTTTCAATGGCCTCGTCTCACAGCCATAAAGCGAGACAGTCCGAAGTGCTGCAATTTACGCGCATCCTTCGGTCGAAAGCCGGATATCATATCTACGCCAAAAATGAAATGAGTCGGCAAATGCCACACGAGCCGTTATTGTCCGTCCTGATATTTTTCAGTAATCACTTCATCAGGAACCCCCATAGTTAACTTGCTTGCTGGTTGTCTAGTCGGTCCCTAACCCGGGTAAAGTGGGAGGGTTGGGCTAGCAAACCCATACACTAAAACCTACCGAACCGCTAGAGGAACTTCAAAACACAGAAAATATATTAAAAATACAAAGACTTAAAATAAAAACAATCTAATTCTTCGCTCGAATCGGAAAGGCGAAATGACAGCGGGCTGAATGGTGAAAGCCGGCCTTCGGGAAGCCAGCAAGCCGATATGTCTTCACTCGATGAAAGCAAGAGTAAGAGTGAGTACGTGGAATGTCCGTACAATGCACGAAGCATGCTGGGAAGGCTCCCCAGATAGCCAAAGAGATGCGAAGATATGGCTTAGAAGTACTGGGTATCTGTGATACCAGATGGAATGGATGTGCATTATCCAAATTGTCAACGAGACAGTCAATAATCTACTCCGGTCTGGACACCCAGACTAAAACCACGGGCACACTGAGGCGCCGAGTGGCAGCCAAAGCCCTAATGCAGTGGAAACGAATTCCCTCTTGCAGGATCATGACATCAAGATTTAACTCCAAAGGAAGGAAGGTAACAATTATCATGCAACGTTACGCAAAGGGCTACAAACAACACGGGACGAGCGGAGGATTTTTACAGACAACTACAAACATTAATCGACAAAATCCTTATGGGCGATATGAACGCAAGCTGAACAGGGAGCAGACAATACAGGAAGAGAACTAACTCATCATGGGTAGAGAAGCTCTCACCTGGCAAAATGAATGACAGCGGAGTATTATTCGCCTACTTCTGTTCTTTCAACGATTTGGTGATCGGAGGGAGAGTGTACAAACACAAGGATATACACAAAGCAACATGGATTTCACCTGACGGACATACCACAAACCAAATAGATTTCATCTCAATGCCGCTCAAGGAAGTGGAGACGCAAGTAGTCTGCTGGATACAAGGTCGAGAATGGGAGCAGATGTGTTCAGGCTCACACCATCATCTAGTTCAAGAAACCATCAAGGTGAAGCTGAAATCCATGAAAACGACTGGAGACAGACCACTGTAATTCACATTCAACATTCAGAAACTGAAGGACAAAATTACAAGGGATGCTTTCGCTACAGATCAGATTATAGCAAAGTCGGAGACACTAAGTGTTATCATTGAGGAAAGCTGGGGGAAAAAACATTGGAACTCTCTAATGGCGATTTTCAAGGAAACGTGCACAACTATTCTAGGGAGAAGGAAGAGCCAAGATAAGGAATGGCTCTCAACGGATACCTGGAAGTTAATCGAGGTGAAGAGGATGGTGGAGTAGGAGATGAGTCAATGAAAAGATGGGCAACAGAAGGAGAAGCTGAGTTCAATGTACACTGCACTGAATAAAGTGAAGAAGAGTGCTAAGAACGAGAGAAGATAATTCTACGACGCAGTGGCCAGCAACTGAATCAGAACAGGCTGCAGGTAAAAGAGACCTCAAGACATTATATCAAATAACCAAGTCTCTATGCGGCAAGTGATTAACCCAGATAATGAAACCCATAAAAGATGCTCGAAGGAACCTGATTACGAAGAAGCAGAAACAAATAAAACAATAAGCTGTTCACTTCAAAGGACTCTTGAATCGACTATCACCTACAACTCGCCAAGAAATACCAACAGAACTGCCAGAGGACACCGATCCTCCAACGAAAGCAGAAATCATGAGGGCGACCAAGCTACTGAAACCCGGAAAGGCAGCAGGACCAGACCGAAACTATTCATCCCCGCCGAAAACAGACCTAAGGGCTGCCGCAGATGTGCTCACGCCATTATTGCAAAAGGTTTGGATAAAAGAAAAGATACCTACTGATTGAAGGAAAGGCTGCCTCATCAAGCTACCAAAGAAGAGAGACCTATGTCTTTGAAGAATTGGCGTAGAATAACTCGTGATAAAGTTTCCTTAAGATCAAATACTATCCTCTTCATAACCAATAAAACTTCAACCTAAGTAGAAAGTTCAGCAGTACTGTTTATCAGTTATCACCTACGAGTTGACCGTGACAGTTTCCCGTAATATTTATATTCTTGGTAGAACTGAAGGGTTCGCTTAATTACTTAACTTCCTCGTCTTCAGAACCATCATACCAGCGACCATACCGGATCTCGGTCACACATAGCTCAGATTTCGAACAACCACGTAAGCAGATGACTGGAAGGACTCTGGCAGCTAGTTGACAAGGAGAGCCATTTAACAGTTACATATCTCTACCACTTCATATTCAACACTTGAAGATATGGTACTGATCGAACATATCTCTGTTATTGGCAGTTTTGGCATTTCCAGGATTCTACCAACCAATGTCCTGAAACCAGTTTGGAATTCTTCGGCACTCACATAAGGAAAAGATTCACATGTTCAACACAAATGTCAAGTCAGTCCTTCTATACGGGTCACAAACTTGCACTGCGTATCACGAAAAGGATTTCCAACAGGTTGCAAACTTTTATCAACCACTGCCTTCGCTGGCTCCATATTGCAGATCAAATGGCCGGCCGGCCAGAAAGAATTCGCAACAAGAAACTCTCGTTGGGAACAAACCAACCAACAGCCGATCGCTCAACAATTATGTAGGAGAAAGTGGAGATGGATCGCGCACAGTGAGGAAACCGTCAAATGACATCGCGCTGGGCCACTGCTCGAGTAGAATCTCAATTGGAAGCGACGAGTGGGTTGTCCTAGGATGACATGTGGAGGTTATCGTGTAAGAAAGAGATGGGGATGACAGAATATAGAATAAAGTGGTGTGTTGTTGAAGCCCTGTGCTCCTCTCAAGACCCAAGGGAACAATAATAATAGTGATAAAACTTCATTAGGCCTGAAGCAACTTTCGAAATAAAAGGTCAGCACTTCCTACCACTTCTAAGCTAGGAGTCGACACAGTCCAGCGGAGCGAGTGAAGACAAAGATGAGCGAGGATTAGAGGGGTTTCGCGTGCACTTCGGATTGTGAGGGAGATTGTTACTTCCCGGCTGCCCACACCGTGGAAGTTGGTTGCGTGACCGCAGAGCCCAGGGGACAACTGCTTGAGGCCGGTCACACACGGCCTGGTTTTGTTTGTTCTTTTTTATTTGGTGTGTCTCAGTAGCGTATTTATCACTTCTGCCCTGTGACACGGCAGCAGAAAGCGCGGTCGTTGTTAATCCGGGCCCCGACCGATCCGGCATGATATTTTGTGATTTATTTGAAATCATAGGATTGGATTGGGTAACTGCTTTTAGTCTAACTGCTATCCAAACAACCTTTCTGGCATGGTAGGACCTGCAGGAACATAAGTTCCAGCCAGTATAGCTTGTTGGGTCATTGCAGTGTTCAAGCCCGACGACCACGTCAAGGTAGCAGCTTTCGGTCGAGATGGAAAAAGCATCGGCGATAGGCAACACCAGACAACTATTCAGGCTTATCAGGGAAACAGGTGGTAAAAGGCAAATGATAAGCGAAACAATCTCCGAGAAAAATGGCACCATAATTAGCTCCCAGGATAGACGTCTGGAGCGCTGGAAAGAACACTACGAGGAGCAGTTTAATTGGCCCACAGCCACACTTAACCTGCCGGACATCCAACACCTCCCTGAATGGGAGATAGACACAGGTCCTCCGTCCTTAACTGAGGTTACTAAAGCTGTCACCAACCTGAAGCTAGGGAAAGCAGCGGGACCTGATTTATTGACTCCAGAGGTATTTAAGTACGGAGGAGACAGTTTACTGTCTGCGTTAACGGAGGTTCTAAGCAGCGTCTGGGAATCAGAGGAAGTCCCATCGGGTTGGTGTAAGTCACTGATCATCCCGATATACAAGAAGGGAGACAAGTCTTCTTGTGATAATCACAGAGAGGCATTAGCTTGACTAATATAGTATCTAAAATCCTAGGCTCAATAATACTGCATAGACTAAGTGGTGCTCGGGAGACACAAACACGAGAAAACCAGGCAGGTTTTAGGCCAGGTAGAGGGTGTATTGATCATATCTTCACCCTTCGACAGATTCTAGAACATAGGCATTCCTACCGGCGTCCGACAATCATTATATTTCTTGACCTAAAGGCGGCATTCGATTCTGTCGACCGGAAGGTTCTCTGGCGATGCTTGGCTGTAAAGGGAATGCCGAGAAAATACATCGCACTGATTAAGGCACTCTACTCGTACTCATGCAGCCAGGTGAGGGCTTATGGCGAGTTGTCATCTGAAGTGGTGACGACTAGTGGCATCCGTCAAGGATGCCCATTATCCCCATTCCTATTCAACTTCATCATAGATGTACTAATGGACTTAACCCTAACACACTTCAGCGACTCAGGGATTGACTTGCTACCAGGGAAGAATCTCGTTGACTTAGAATATGCGGACGATATAGTCCTTCTAGGCGAGGACTCTGACAAAATGCAGAGTCTACTGAACACCCTGAGCAACAATCTTCGTATGTTTGGCATGCGATTCGCCCCTGTAAAATGTAAGATGATGCTGCAGGATTGGACTTCATCGACCCCTAGATTAGAAATAGGAAGTGAAGTAATAGAACACGTTGACCGCTTCAATTACTTGGGAAGTACCATCAGCCCCAACGGGTTGATCTCAGACGAAATATCAGCACGAATACAGAGGGCTAGGTTCGCATACGCCAGTTTACGCCGTCTCTGGTGTAGACGCGATATCCGACTATCGACCAAAGGGCGTGTGTACTGCTCAACAGTCCGCTCCGTCCTCCTTTATGGCTGTGAGACCTGGCCATTGAGAGCAGAAGACATGAGAAGATTAGCTGTCTTCGATCATAGGTGTCTGCGTTCCATCTCCCGTGTGAAGTGGTATAATAAGGTGAGCAATACTGAGGTTAGGCGTCGAGTGCTAGGTAAGGCGGGGAAATCAATCGACGAAACGGTGAAATTACTTCGACTGAGATGGTTAGGACATGTGCTACGTATGCCTAGTCATCGCCTTCCTCGACGGGCAATGTTAGCTGATATAGGGCCAGGCTGGAAAAGAGCTAGCGGCGGTCAAACCAAAACATGGCACCAATCAATGAAATCCACAACAGTTAGTCTAAGTCAAGTAGGGATGGTAAAAACCAATGGTTGGAAACAATTGGTGACATGGCTCAAAATCGTTCTCAGTGGCGCAGATGCATCCACTCCTTGTGACTTATGATTTCCGATGAAACTGTTTTGTTCTTCGTTATTACTACTCCTTTGTCTCACACCTCTGTTTACTGTCTATATTATGCATTTCTTCTACTTCTTTCTCTTCCTTTGTGTGCTACATAGAGTGTGGCGACTTGAACTGCCGCACATATGTGCAAAGTTCTATGTCGAAAACAGACAGACAGACAGACACCATCCTACGTGGCTGGCTTAAACTAACTGTTGTGGATTTCATTGACTGATGAAGCCATATTTTGTTTTAACTACGACTAGCTCTTTTCCAACCTGATCCATCCTGTGTCAGCTAACATTGCCTGTCAAGGAAGGCGATCATCAGTGGCCTGGGATGCATGCGTAACACATGTCCTAACTATCTCAATCGATGTAACTTCACAGCCTCGTCTATTGATTTCCCCTCCCAACCAACCTAGCACTCGACCGAAGCCTTACCTCAATATTGCTCACCTTATTATACCACTTAACACGGGAGATAGAAAGACAGCTAGGCTTTTCATGTCTCCCAATGGTCATGTCCCACAGACATGAAGGAGGAGAGAGAGAACTGCTGAGCAGTAAACACGTCCTTTGGTCGACGGTCGGATATCACGTCTACTAAGGCAGAGATGGCGTAAGTTGGTGTATGACAAAATAGCCTTCTGTATCCGTCCTGAGATGACGTCAGAGACCAACCCGTTCGGACTGATGCGACTCCCTGAATAAGTGGAGTGGTCTACACACTTCACTCCCATATTTCTAATCTTGGAGTCTATGTAGGTCAGTCCTGTAGCATCATCTTTCATTTGACGGGAGCGAATCGCATGATACATATTTGAAGATTGCTGTTCAAGGTATTCAGACGGCTATGCATTTTGTCAGCGTCTTCACCTAGAAGGACTTTATCATATGTATGGTCTAAGTCAATGAGATGATTCCCTGGCAACAAGTTAAGCTTTTAGTTGCTGAAGTCAGCTAGGTTAAGTTCCACTAGTATATTCCTGATGACATTGAAAAGAAATGGGGACAGTGGGCATACCTGACGGACACCACTTCAGATGAAAACTCACCGTAAGCTCTTAATTGGTTGCATGGGTTTGAGTAGAGTGCTGCTGAAATCCACTAGAATTTTTTAACCTTTGGTGTCGGGTTATCAACATCCTATACCCAGTTGTTCTACAGCATGTCACACTTCCTCAGGATGAGTTTTGCTGTCAGTTTCAGATACGCGTTATGCTGTTTCTTCCCTGAATAGGGACTTAGTGTTCTCACCTTGTATTGCTTAGCTTGTAAAACACTCTCTGATGGTGAAACAATGATAGGTAGTCAAAAGGAAGCTGGAAGGACTGCAGTGCTTGTTTATGATGTTGAAGATAAAAAAAGACAATAACAGTTGAAAAAGAAATGACATGGTATCACAATTTTATGAAGTGAAAATAATGACATCAACCATCATAACAAAATACTTGACTGTTAGCGTGATGCGCGTTTAGACGGTCAAAACTGACTTTATAAACTCATGAACAACGTCATTGGAATTCAAAACTTTTTCATGAACGTTGGCAATTTGAGTGGTCTCCATGATTCATTGAATTCCCATTTGCCGTTAAAGCTTCAGCGTTGTTCGCGGTGTTCTCACATGACTCTTTCTTCACACAACGGGGTCCATAAAGTAAGATATACGCACAATGCCAGTCACCACCTCCGGATAAGCGCAAAATGTCTTCCTCGGTTACTTGACTTACACGGTGATCGTCATACTTGAGCCATACACCTGCAATAATTTGGACATAATTAATAAATAGTACTAACAATTCAGTGCATTAAAATTTGTTAGCCATCAGTATGTTGATAATTTTACCACCTGAGTGGATCTAAAAATAACTTATTTCAAATGACCTTTCAAGTTACCAGAAATTCAAAAAGGGGTCTTAAAATGATCTGCGCGCACTGAATATAAGACAGTTAGCTTAGAACTAGGGTTTGAGGCATCTCAGATGCTCGGGGTAAAGTAGATTAGATGAGAATTAAACGTATGACCCAAAAACTGAAGACTGAGTACTTCAACCAATTAGTGAGGGAACAACTTAAAGACATTAAGTGGGAATAGCTCACTGAAGACAGCACTCTACTGTGCAAAAATAAGCAACCAGCTGAAATGAAATTCAACCTTGTCTACCGCAACAGAATATGCAAAAGACTGAATAAATCAAGTAGCTAAAAAGTAACATTTGAAAAATTACTAATAAAAATTTTCATTGAGTCTTTTTAAAGGGACATTTCCATGAAAGGTGTGTTGTGTATCCTTAGTTTCATAGTGAGAAAATGAATTTTAAGTGCCATTCTTATTGTGTGTTTTCTTCAACTGGATGACAATGGTAAAAATCCTAAAATGACTTTTAAGAAAATACTCACCTTGTGTTTTTATCCAAGCAACATAATGTCCACTAGTGCTTGTTCTACCCTGATGACTCAAAACTCCTTGTAACTCGTAGTATCCAGAATTATTAGAGCCAGGATCATCAGAAAACCAGTAAGGTTCATACAATTCAGGATTTTTATATGGATCAGGTTGTTTGGCATCTAAAAGATATTTGAAGATTGTTGAATGTTCAAGTAAACAATATCAGCTGCTGCAATTTCACGAGTAGAGATTTACGAAAATTTATTGCAGGAATAGATTTTTTAAATTAAAAGTGAGGATCTTTGCATCTATAGAAAAATGAAAATACACTGTAAACGGATTCAAATTGTTTATTAAAATAATGGACAAAAGTACGCGGAACGAAGTTGACAATTATAGTCGTACAAACTCGTTATCACAATTATTGCAGACGCGATTACTACTAGATCTTAGAGTTTGTGGTTCCTTGTTAAAATTTATGCATACACCAAAACTAAAGCACTAAGTATTCCCAGTCGAACTACACATGAGCATTATGTATAACTACCACAAGTGTGTACTGCTGAATCCTGAGTGGTTGTCAATAGGTAAGTAGTTGATACAGTTTTGAAAATATACATTGGCTGTAAAGTAACTAGGTTAAAATGCAAATGGTTGGTAATTGTCAAATTTGAGAAGCGATTGCTTTCAATCTTCTAAGTGAAATAGTGACTATTCTCAGTGGGCGTTTACAGATGAACATTAATCAAATAGATATTTTCGCTTCACAAATTCTCTTTCACATGTGAAACTGAAACTTGAGACCTTTAAGTAATTATTCTCCTACACTTGTTTACTATGACTTACTTCACGTTCAAGTAGCTAATGTTAGTTATATTCTTTATTATTATTATAATATTATGAACAGAATGTGGAACATACTTCATGGATTTTCGCACGGTTTCCGTTTCGCTTTCAGATACGACCGTGCAGACAAGAAATTCAATAGTTAGAAACAATTATGAGAGCGTTATGGTAACTACGCTTCACCGATTGACTATTCAGTTTGAGTTAGATAGGTCTTCCTGTAGAAATTACGGTTAATAATAGAACAGTGACAGTTGTAATAAACACAGTCCCATTAAGTCAAAAGGTGTTTTAAGTATCATTTGCTCATTACGGTTACAAGTTTTTCCAGCTGACAAAAGTGGTGTTGAGTAGTTAACAGTAATCTTAAAAAACGCAACAACTTTTCTAGCGCTTAATATGTAATTTAAAACACCAGTTCAAATACCAACCTGCTTTGAGTTTTGCCGATTTCGTTTGATTCGATGGATTTGTCAGTTCATTTTGGTCAAGCAGATGAATTTTTTCGCGCATAGGTAGTAACTTCTTTTGTAATTCAGGTGTGCAAAATTCATGCATATCCAAAGTAAGCGGAAACTTTACATCTTTTAAAATCTGTTAAAAGAGAGGACTTATATTAGTTTAACGAAATCTTATAGAACAAAACCTTCAGCGAAAAGGTTGATCATATGGAACAACGTGGTGTGTTATGTAATAATATCCCAACGATGTCCCTCAGACCTTTTACTTCTCATCACAAGAATTGGGCAAATCAAACCGATAGTTTTTATTACATTGATGATTACAAAAATAGCTTTAAAACAATGAACACTCACCTTAGCATTAACCTGCTTGTCTTCTTTGTAAAAGAAGCGAACAAAATGGATAGATAAATATGCAGGAAGTCGACTAATCAAAGAAGTTCGTTTGTACACAGCATCACGATTCAGAAGCGGTGAGTGTTTAGTCAAATTTCCCGTAAAACCGTTTCGAATGCCAGTGACCAGGTATTTCACATCTGTAACAATATTTTTGAAGATGGATTAACGGGATATGTCAAGATTAAAGTAAAACAATAACATAAAGGCAAAGAAACAGGCAATCAAATTCACCACTAGCTTTTTACACAAGTTTTGCGATCCCTTGTAGTAAGTCACAAGCTACTCTTTTTAATGAAGATCTAAGAAAAATAGTATGACAGTCATATATATATATATATATATATATATATAAGACGAAGCCGTGTAGTGAAATAGATGTCAGTCAGTGAAAATGAACGGAGTTTCACCTTGAAGCTATAATCGAAAGCGAAGCTGTGTTAGATAACAGATGCATATGCCCACGAAAAATCGGTAAACTGCAAGCTAAAAGCAATATTATAGAAGACGTGGAAAAATGGTCAAAAAATTACAGGCCGAACGGGTAGCCATTGTTTTAACCAACATTCACGATGATATTCTTAAGTTTTTTTCAGTAGAAAAAAGCTACCACGATATGATCACTGATATAAATGTTCATCAACTCCTACTCTTTTCTAAACACTCGCATAGACTTCGAGGCAAAATTTGTGAAACACGTCCAAGCTAGGGAATTCAACACTTGGAAGTGAAGTAATTTAGTAATCGGTGATATTCGCCATGTCTGAAACTGCCCTTTGCACTTAATATTCACTTAGACGGTTTCGCTATCAGGTGCGAAAAATCCCATGGAGACAGTGACCATTAAACATGCAACGCAACTAAAAATCCTAAGCCTGCATGGCACTCGCATTCAAGAAAAGAACTGCAAGCAACAAAGACTATTAACCTTCAAACTTGACACTCAGACTAACATCAAGGCGTTGCTAGATGTAGATCAGATATTCTAATTTCAAACACTGATACTAGTGCGGTTAGTCACTAAGCGCTGGAACTGTCAACGACGTACAACCATGTACATACACTCAAGAGTTATCAAAGTGCCACAGGAAACACACACGCATTTTAACCATTATAAGAAATACCACATTAATTAACCAAAGCGCAAATAACCTTGGTTTATGAAGCAAGACAACTGATTAAATGTCTCTACAGTTTCTAATTCAGGTTCTTCCGATTCAGTGCAGCTTAATTTGCACAACAGTTGACCAGTAAGAAATCGATCTACAGGATTCCACTCTGAATTTGTACGGAAACTTTCAGGTAGATCCTAAATCGGAAATAAAACAAAACAAACAATGATACTTCTTAGGCAAATATATAACTTTGCATCAAAAACAATACATTACTAGCACATGGTTGATAGATGAAATGCTTATACTTGCTTGGTTTAAGAATCCTCTTATTGAATACGCAATGACACAACTGTGAACGATGTACCGTAGATAGAAAAGTCCATATTTTCGACAGTAAGAAGCGCATATATTCTTTACACTTTAACAGTTTTGAGCCGTGTCAGCAAGAATCTAGAATCACTGATTCTTGACAATAAAAATCAGTCAATAAGTTAGTCATGTCTGTTAATCAGTCACCTTTCTACACAGCCCAAGCCGTGACTCAATTGGATATTAACCAGTGACGTAACGTCTCAGGAGAAAAGCAGTGTGCCCTTTCTGATTAAAGATAGTAAGCGTTGATCCTTTGAAAGGTGTGAACATAGGTTATTGTCACTTGAATTCTTCATCAATATGCGCCTGAAAATGTCATAGTAATATTCATTTCTTGTGTTGAGTGGACGATAGGGTTCCAGTATGACATCTCTATTGTACTGCATTGTTCACCATCAATTATTCTTTAATCTCGTAGTGCACACAAGCTTTCACATCGCATCTTTACATAGTCTCCTTCACTTCACCCTAGAACACACGCCGAACTCATCGCTTCTCACTTGAGGGCTTGGCATGGTGTATATGTTCAATCCATTTCTATTTCCTTCCGTATATTCACTGAGACAGATTCTTGATCAGTTCATTACCGGAGTCGTCTATTGTCTATCCTTTCCAACCGCACATATCACCATTGTCAAAAGAAAGTAGCTGTTCACGGAATTCTGCAGCAGCTTATTGGAAATGCTTTCGATGATGCGCTAAGTCTCCGAACCACACTAGGTATGAACATGACTTCTGGACTACGTGCCCTGTGCTCATTGCCATATGCACACTGATTTCAGAGTCATGAGTGCTCGGCTGATTTCAACATTCTCATTTTATGCCCCTTGCCTGTAGTTGAGACTATGTCACGATGGATAGGCGAGTGAAAGAGACGTCTTTCAGATTTCTTCTGTTAATGGTGGTTGGTAACTGAACCTTCGCTTACCACTTCTTAGTCTGTAAAGAGGCATTGGATCCCGCTGGGCCTGGTGATCACGCCTGTGAAGAACGTCTTACACTTGTGAAACTTTAAATCATCGAAAAAACTAACTTGCTGTCCGCCAAATTTCTTAGTGAATGGATGACGCCGGTTGGTGAAAGCACTCGGAAAGCCACTCGACCGATTTGTCTTCTCTCGATGAAAACGAAAGTAACCCAGAACTTGTGTGAACCCAACAGCTTGGTGGTTGTGATGTCCATGTCCAAAGTTTCTTGCCGATTAATTATTTCTATGTACGATAATATTTTGCATTCATTCTAATATTCTACATATAAGAATAATACTTGGGTGCTGTTTCTTTTACTCCTTTGCATCCCTATCAGTGGCAGTGTTTTTTACGAGGTGGGGTTGCTAGCCCACACACCACCTCCTGTCTTTATCGGGTTTACAACTGGCCAGGGGAAGTAGAGGTGTGCGCCGGCCGGGGATTGAACTCCACCACATGCCAGGTTTGCAAGCAGGCTACCGCCGAACTACCGTAGAATAAATCTTTTACATAAAATCACAAAGATGCAGCATAATTCACTGATGACGTCTGAGTTCTATCTTCCGTGTTAAGTGGTATAATACGGTGAGCAATATTGAGGTAAGGCTTCGGTCGAGTGCTAGGTTGGTTGGGAGGGGAAATCAATAGACGAGGCTGTGAAGTTACATCGATTGAGATAGTTAGGACATGTGTTACGCATGCATCCCATGCCACTGATGATCGCCTTCCTTGACAGGTAATGTTAGCTGACACAGGATGGATCAGGTTGGAAAAGAGCTAGTCGTAGTTAAAACAAAATATGGCTTCATCAGTCAATGAAATCCATATCAGTTAGTTTAAGCCAGCCACGTAGGATGGTGTGGACTTCCTCACTGGTTGGGGTCCTCGGGATGGTAAACACCAATGGCTGGAGACAATTGGTGATATGGCTCAAAATCGTTCTCGACAATGGCGCAGATGCATCCGCTCCTTGTGATTTATAATATCCAATAAAACTATTGTTCTTCGATATTACTTGCTTGCTTCATACCTCTGTTTAGTATCTCTTTTGATGAATCTCTCTTTACTCTCTTCTCTTGCTTTGTGTCACATGGGAGGAGTGTGACAACTCGAACTGCTGCACATCGGTGGAAAATTTTACGTTGAAACCAGTCAATCTGACTGATGACGTTTGGAGCATGATTAACTACTGATTATCATGTTGAAGCGATTGTCGGCAGTAAATTGTGCTTTGTGACTGACTTCATTACTAGGGTATTCAAATAACTTATTATTATCCGTTTTTTTCTTCTTCATTAACATTTGTATCTTCTTTAGTGCTAAGACAAATTCCACAATGTGCAAAACTGTTAGCTCACAACTGTCAAACCAATCAACAGTGTGTATGTAATAAGCAGTACTTTAACACTCTTAACATAAAGTACGTTAATGGAAAAGAAAATGCTTTGAACACACGTCTTATAAGAAAAACTGAAACTTATTCGTAGCATGACCGAGTACTGTTAATGTCCTGTCAGGTTCACTAATCAATCAAGACATAAATACCTCAAAATAGGGAAGCAACTCTAGCCCATCTATATACATAATCGCTCACGATATAAAATTGTAAAAGAATAAGCATTATATGAGGAAAAGTTACCGGAATACTCGTTGAAATTTCAAAATCAATAGTAGCTGTTTGTAATCCCCGGACAAGTTCTGTCCAACACTCACTGGCATCTTGTTGTTCGTGATTTGGGTTGAGCCTAGAATATGGGTTTTGAGACGATTTCCCAGTATCTCTGGCTTGGGGGGCAAACTGGGGACACACAGAGTGCAAAACATTAAGGAGAAACATAGGAGTGAGTGGTACGGCAGACATGGTCATCAATTTGAATGAATACTTCAACCCTTCGCATAGTAGCACATAATGTTGTGAATCCGGAGTAGTACTTGAAAAATGACATCTGCGTTCAAAAAATAATACGCAATAATTAAATGATGAACCAGAACAGTAACTACAAACATGGGTAAAATTCGAAGACACTAGACACAATGTACGTTTCTTATGAAATATACTGGTGATTAAGAATTGTCAAGTCATTGTAAAATGACAAAATTGTGCAGTTCTGGTTGGTATAAATATTTTATGCGACGAAACTAGATGAAATACTTGAATATAATAAATTGTGGGAGCGTGAATACACGTATACATAAATTCCTCACTGGTAAGTTCGAAATGAATTCCAACAGAATTGTATTGCGACTTCTAGCGACGTTCATAATTCGCTAGGATCGGTTAAGGAGTGGAGTTCCGGGTTTTGGCGTCTCACAGTGAAGACAAGCAACAAATTTTAATGACGCAGGATTCAAATTCGTATCAGGAAATGTTTCCAACTCTATCTTCGGCCTCAAAATATTTCAGCTCATCTATCTTAGTAGAACTTTTTGCAGCAGGGTATAACAACACATGAATCACTTCATAAGTGTGCCCAGACAAGATGCTAATCATTTTTTTAGCAAATGACATCAACTTAAGTGGCTTGCATGCGTTGCAAACGTCCCTACAATACACTTTTTGATAGCCCTGGGACTAGATGGTAACTATTAATGCATCATTACATTATCAGATGTATCTCATCCGAGTGACAATATTGGTATTTACTACGAAACGCCATAACACATTAAATCTGTCCACAAATCCCTATTATGAGAATGCAATCATACAAACGTCACGTAATTCTGTGAGCATTTATCCGTATTCTTCTTTAAACAAAAAGGGATGAAATTTCAACAAGCTCCAAAATACCTCGCCATATGTATTTAAAAGCCGAAGCTCAATGAAAAGAAACATTTGCCATGAATATAATTCTCTTTGGCGCCACAGCTGTAGTTTTTATACTCCTAGTTTAAAAAACGACTACTATTTCAAAGTACATCTCGTCAATACCGTTAACAACTATTTTACAACTGTTTTGTTCAATCCTGTGTAATTTTTTATCTGCCCCCCGTGATCCATATTCACATCGTCAGTCTTTATGAGTTGACAAATACTTTCTTTAATTTACCTTCGTCACTATCTTGAAAAGAATAATTTGAATGATGTAATCACATATGAAAATGCGATAGTACAGCTTTTGAGGATGAAATTACCGAGATATTTTTCCCCAGTTTTTCATTTTTGTCCCCTAATAATCAGGATATCAGACAGGTACTGACTGTATCAAAAACTACTGTAGTTTCTAATCCAAGGCTGTCGGAGAAGGCAATATGTATGCATGTCCAAACACTGCCAGTAGCTAAAAAATAGCACTAAGATTTGTCGGCGAAGTGTGCTCCTAAAATACTTCTGCATCCTAAAATTCGCATACGAAACCACCTCAGAAAGTATGACATCACACAACTCCCTTACACCGTCTTCGTCAACCACGATATTCTTAAAGACATTCGTCATGGTGCAGTCCTCACTGGACACTATTCAAAATTGAGTACACAAGCCACACATACATTTGATATATTATACGACAGAATCTAGATATTTAAATAATAATAAGTTACCGTATGCCTAAGGACATTTAATCAACATACTTTTCTACACAACACCAACGAATTGGAGTTAGTGCTACAGGCCATGAAGTCATATGAACTCTTGAAGTGAAAACATGTGTTAGTATTTAAGTCATTTGCAGGTACCGTAACACAAATCAGAACTACACCGTCAACTCACATTTGTAAAACCAAGCGGAATTCTGGGATTGAGTACAACATTTGTACGACTGCATTCAAGTAACATGTATTTCCTAAGTTCCATATGCCAGGTGGTAGTTTGAAGGAACTTTCTGATGGCGGTAACACCACTTCTTCTGACGTAACTGCGACGCTAACAGGGACCTCACCAACAGAACCCACCAGCATCACGTTTATTCCCTTGGGAAACCAAAGTTATAAAACTGATAAATTTACATTTTTGATTTGAATGCCATTGTAATTATCATTTCCTAATATTCCACCGGGCAGGATAATTTTCTGGCGGTCAGGAGGAACACCAGTGAGTGAAAAAAGTGAGGCCTTGAAAACCTCAGGGCTTTCGTCTGTGTTACACTCTACATCTGTATATTTATTCTTCTGCCATTTAACGTTAACTGCAGATAAAGCGTTATTAAATGCCAAGGGTCTTACCTTTGTAGATCGGCATTATATTTACACAGGCGCTAAATTGTTACTTTGAGAATTCTTCGACAGAGATGAAGTCCTGTAAAAATTCTACAGTACAATAGAAGAATTTCACAGATCATATAGTTACCTGGTTAGACAGAAAATCTCAAAATGTAAACAGCAGTCCTAAACTGCAACACCCCTCCCGCTCAAAACAGCCGCTGAAAGCGTGACCATGCAAAAAAGTTCAGACGGTGCGCCAACGTTTAAAATTGTTAAGCGGTAAACAGTTTCCCAAAATTTCTAGCCTACAGCTTTCATCTAATTTTATGGTGGGTTCCTTAGACAGTTTATTTCATCTAAGTTGAGATAGTCAGTACAGACTGCATTTGTCACACTTCAAACAATCTCCATCGACAATTTAGTAACACAGACTGATATAACTTTTAATATTGTACCTTTGCGTTTCCAGTGGAACATACGGCTTCAACAACACACATCCACTTAGGTCTATTTTCTGCCATCCTCTTTATCTGGGTCCACAATCGTTCAAACTCTCTCATCTCATCCTCACATGATAACCTCCACATGTCATCCTAGGACAACCCACTCGTCGCTTCCAATTGAGATTCTACTCGAGCAGTGGCCCAGCGCGATGTCATTTGACGGTTTCCTCACTGTGCGCGATCCATCTCCACTTTCTCCTACATAATTGTTGAGCGATCGGCTGTTGGTTGGTTTGTTCCCAACGAGAGTTTCTTGTTGCGAATTCTTTCTGGCCGGCCGGCCATTTGATCTGCAATATGGAGCCAGCGAAGGCAGTGGTTGATAAAAGTTTGCAACCTGTTGGAAATCCTTTTCGTGATACGCAGTGCAAGTTTGTGACCCGTATAGAAGGACTGACTTGACATTTGTGTTGAACATGTGAATCTTTTTCCTTATGTGAGTGCCGAAGAATTCCAAACTGGTTTCAGGACATTGGTTGGTAGAATCCTGGAAGTGCCAAAACTGCCAATAACAGAGATATGTCCGATCAGTACCATATCTTCAAGTGTTGAATATGAAGTGGTAGAGATACGTAACTGTTAAATGGCTCTCCTTGTCAACTAGCTGCCAGAGTCCTTCCAGTCATCTGCTTACGTGGTTGTTCGAAATCTGAGCTATGTGTGACCGAGATCCGGTATGGTCGCTGGTATGATGGTTCTGAAGACGAGGAAGTTAAGTAATTAAGCGAACCCTTCAGTTCTACCAAGAATATAAATATTACGGGAAACTGTCACGGTCAACTCGTAGGTGATAACTGATAAACAGTACTGCTGAACTTTCTACTTAGGTTGAAGTTTTATTGGTTATGAAGAGGATAGTATTTGATCTTAAGGAAACTTTATCACGTTTGTCGGCAATGGCATATATCACGTTGCAGCCGCTGGATAACCGGTAGTCCCCAAAGGCTGGTTGTTTTACTCAACAATTTAAGGTTAGGCGGGAATGAATGATATTTTGCCAAATACTGGTATAATTTGACCGTGAAATATTCTTGGGCGTTACCAGTGGAAGGTGGTGACGACTGACGACTCGCAGGCGATCATGGAGCCGGATCGTCGAAACGATCTCAGATTGCTATCCACTTAACGGCAACACGATATTTTGCGGCCACACATTCAAGAACTGAGTTGGTCAAGGCGTACAATCAAATTTAGGTGGCACAGAATGACAGCCCGTATCGGGTCTCAGTCGAATTGTTTAAATTTCTACGAACTTCATTCGGCCTTCAAAATGCGACTAAAATATTCCAAGGTTGCACCGACAAAGTATTCCGCCATCTTGAGTTAACAAACGCTTGTTAGGCGACTGCTTATCGTAAGTTCACATATGTAAAATAATCTCCAGCAGGTTACGCTGACGTATTGTTACTTTAGGGTCTATGAGACACCGTGCTACTACTACTTAGAAGTGGTAGGCGATAAAGGGACTCAGATGGAAGGGATGCATACCTAAGTAGGAACGAAGTCTTCTTTAACATTTGTAAAGCTCCCTTTATCGACTGAATGATGAATGTCCTTCCAATGTGTTTGACTAGGTTTCCTGCTTCACTTGTCGACTGCCGTGCTTTCGAAAAAGGACATGAAAATGCCATCAGTCTTCTTGTTTGAATAATCATTCTGACAGAAAATTCGGTTTCTAAATAATCACAAATGAGGAGAGCTTCTTGACTATCTTGGCCGTTTCTCAAACCACGAAGATATCCATCAACTGGTTACTGGAGTGAAGGCAATCGCGGTGCCAAAAACCGCGTAACACCACAATTTAAATCGTCTGACAAGTTATTATCATCAGTCCATTCCTAACTTCGCCTCTAATGTAACTTCTGAAATTATCCAGGATAATGCCAAATTTGCATATCAGGACGCACTCTCTAAGAACTCTCACCGAAGATAGTCAACAGGAGAATCGCATCAGCTTGACTACACTCTCTGGTTAACTTCGGATATTCGCCAGTAATACTGTCGCAGACGTCTTGTCGTATATCAATCCCTGCATCCAAACTAACAACACAAACTTTGTGAAGCAAGCTTATCTGTGAAAAATATCAACATAGTTTATTGACAGAAGCTCTGGAATTAAAAGAGAACCTGTTATGCAACGGTAAGAATACTATTTTTGCCATGCTTTCAGGTATACTCCTTGCCTAAAAGTTTTTGACATAACGTCTTCAATTTATTTCATGACTTATATAGCCTAGAAATCCGAGCTACCGCCAAGTATTTCACCAGTTTGGCGTGCTGGCCTCCTGTATTCATTAAGTGAGTCACGGACGTATAAAAACTGCAGGGAAAAAGGTCTCGTAGGTTCTCCTATTACGCAAGATGCCCCCTCTGTCCATGTCCATATGATCTGTACGGAACCTTCGCAGAACCCCATGAATATGCCCGCATGATGATATCTGTTGTTCATGGAACTCGATAGCTTGAAACATTGCCTCTTTGGGGAACAGTAACGCCCATTTTCGTAGAAAAATAGATTGCGCACCTTAGATGCCTATCTACCGTGATAAATGGTCACAGCTGACAGTTCGAAAACGGCCTATTGTGGCCGCCCTGACCAAACTTCTGGGCCGAAAACTTTTCCAAAAAGGAGCCCAGAAACTTTAAGCCAATACCATAGTAGAACGCTTTCAGTGGCAGCTAAAGATTTGACTGTTAGCTTCAAAAGATGTAAATTGGACTGAATCAACAGCCTTGGTCCTCCTCGACATACGAAATGCAATGAAATTAGATGATTGCCGCATTACTGTCAAGCTAGTATGAGCAACAACATAAGGCCTACCGAGTGGGTCGATTTCATCCTCTAGTTTTCCACTGACTATCGACCACGCTTGTAAATGCTGGCAAAAATTGAATAGTCAGCATATGGTTTGTTAATTCGAGGATTAGTTGTGGCACTGACAGTCGAGGCCCTACATGCCGGAGAGCTGGAGAATAACGCCTAAAGCTTGAGTACATTATTGTTACGAAGACGGAGGCAGAATAAGTGACAAGTGGTAACATTGACAGTAGGTACGTGGCAGACAAGAGTGTGTACAAAGAGTATCACTTTGTACTGCTGTAGTCGTACTGGTTTCTGCAAGGGTTGCCAGAGCAGGTGGTGCGCGTGCTGCGAGGTGTCAAGAAGAAGCCAAGGGTGGGAGTCAATTCATTGTAATCAAGATTGTGCACATCGTCTCTGATGAGGGAAAGAGTGAGCCAGTGTGGTGTGGGTAGGCTCGTTGCGTGTTGTTCTTGTTGTTTTGCCTTCCATCTCAGTCTTGGCCTTGATGACCCAGGTTTTTCCATTGACAGTCAAGTCTATGTACGTTAGTCGTGATGGAAAAAACAGGATGAATCCCTTTTTTGCTCTGGAGTTCTCATATTAATGAGCACTGGGCAGCCTATAATTGTTTATTCGAATGGATCTCCATTTAGTTTGTAGGCAACAACAGCAACCGTGTCCTAATCGGATGGTGCCTGGAAGAAGACTGGAAAAAAACGATAAGAAATGTTACTGGTTCGTGCTGATGTTTATTAGTAGACTTTGTGCTTAGTAACTACGTGGTACATGTTCTTTATTGGTGAACATTAAACAATCTTCAATCTGCCAATCTATTTTCCGATATTCTCGAATTGGTTACTGCACGTGGAAATCTGAGGCAGAGATTGGTTCTCTGTAATAGTGCTAGGCTCGGGATCTTTTACGACCTGGACAACTGACTCATTAAACGAAATCGTGTCATTTTTAGTCAGTAATCTGTTATGCTTGAGGTACATATCCTCGTTATATGCATATTGTTTTGCTTGTAACCTGCATCATAAACTGAATGCACTTTTTATCACTTCATGTGCGCTGCTTTATGAAGCTGTTCCTCTTGCTCTATTCTTCCTTCCAGCCTTACCGCATGGTAAATGAATGTCAGACGTCACCCAGTATTCTTGTTTTCTCTTTTAGCTGCAACGGAAACAGGATAAGAAGCGAGTGCAGCACAAGAACCAACCGACAAGCATTTATCGAATCCTTGAACATACTTTTCATAAGCATAGGCAGACATTCTGAAGTTCGCTCATCTCCAAAGTGCCCATCGGAAAGTTCTAATTAAGGGAGTTCTTATTCTGCCCAGTATTCTCATAAGGTCCTTGTCAATAGACGTGAAGATCGAACGTTTGTTTTATTGGAACTGGCAACCATTGGCGGGCAATTGAAGGCGCGAATGGTCGATCGCTTGCAAGTTGAAGGAAGACTGGAGTTAAATACGAATAAAAGTGCTTTATAACTTCATTTGTACTTAACATTTGTTTGTAGACTTTGTAGTTTTCTTCAATTTAATTGCCAAACAACATAATTTCGTTCAAGGAATACTGGTGTTTTGGATTTAAAGTTGAAGAAAGTACATAGTATTTATCGGCTCAATCGCTTAAGTCTTCATTACGATAGGAACTTAGGACTAAGTTCCTTGACAGTCCTCTCAGACCCACTGGGGAAGGGAGTTAGTTGTAACTGCAAGTAATCCGCTAAAACTGTTAATGTGTATCCTTCAGTGTTCAACACTGGGTGCTAAACATGACTGCTTCTCTTTCTGGCTAATCCAAAGTTATGTGACCAAGCACTCAAGCTACCTGGTACGTTGTTGTTGGTGTAGGAGCTCTCGTCAGCTAGGCAGACATCATATCCTGTTTCCTCTATACAGTATATTTTTCAAGTTTTCGACGATCAATTTACTGTTCTGATTTGGCATCCGAGTAGT